CCCCAGCTGTTATCTCTTAAATAGGTTTTATGTTCTCTCTTCTCTGGGACTCCTATAATACAAATGATATTACTTTTGATGGAGTCACTGAGTTCCCTAAGCCTATTTTCATTTTCCATAATTCTCTTTCTCGCTATTGTTCAACTTCATTATTTTCCATTATTTTGTCTTCTAGGTCACTAATTCAGTCCTCTGCTTCTTGCAGCCTGCTGTTCATTGAATCAAGCCTGTGTCCAATCTTGCGTATTGCACTCTTCATCTCTGATACTTTTTTGACTCTTTGATTTCTGTGGCAAGGGTCCCACTGATGTCTTCCTTTTTTTTTTTTCTTCTCAAATCCAGTTGAGTATTGTTATAGTTGTTGCTTTAAATTCTGTATCAAGCATGTTACTTATATCTGTTTCACTTAGAGGTCTGGCAGTGGCCTTACCTTGTTCTTTCATTTGGCATTTTGTCTAAGTCTCTGCTTTCTTCTTTGTGTTCGAAAAGCCAGTCATGTCTCCTGCTCCTCAAAGTAGTGGCTTTATGAAGAAGGAGTCATGTAATGTCCAGGGCCTGATGCTTCAGGGAAGATCCCTGGTTTGTGCCGCATGTGCTCTGCTATTGTGTTTTGCAGGGGCTCTCCTTGCCTACTGTGGGCAGTGTTTGGTCCCTGGCCTGAATGTGGTGAGTTTTAACTATGTGTGCTCTAGTCTGCTGTGAAATGAGACCTGTCACCACCTGCACCAGAACGGAGGCCCTGCAGAACTCTCTGGTCAGGAGGTGTGGTCTGGGCAGGCATTTGTGCTGAGGGGACCAGTGCCCTGGGACTGATGCAAGCATGACTAGGAAGGGCAGTCCTGCCAGAGTTCAGGGGTGTGGGACTTGATGTAAATAAGTCAGGCGGACAACGTTGGCATTGCATTGTTTCTTGCAGATGGCTCTGTCTTTATGCTGAGGGGCTGGGGGCGTGGGGAGGGGCACACACCAGCATCTTTGTTCCTATGAATGTTGACTCTCAGTAATGAGTTAGTTCTGAGAAGTGTAAATAATCTCCCCTTTGTGTGCCCCGGCATTCTTGCAATCACAGTTTCAACATTGTCTTCCTCCAGATTGTCTGCCTGCCTTGTCTCCAGGAGCAGCGCAGTGCCCTCAAGGCTCTATTCCCGCCAAGCCTCCCGACCTTTAAAAACCCAGGCTTTAAGCCCCACTGGTTGCAAGAACTGATGAAATTCAGCCCCTCTCATTTTCCAAGCCAATGTCTTTGGAGAGATGTTGTCCTTGTGCATTCTCCTATGTGCTCCCCTCTCTCTCCCTCCCTTTCCTGTGACCAGTACCCCCTCCCCTCCATAGCACCCTCCATCTATTTCTCCCTTAAAACATGTCTTCCCACCTTCTTCAATGTGGCCTCTTCTCTCGCTTTACTTGTGGAGTTTGTTTTGTCAGTCTTCAGGTCAACTTCTAAGGTATTTAGGACAATTTGACAGTTTTCTTTTTTAAACTTTTTTTTTAACGTTTATTTATTTTTGAGACAGAGAGAGACAGAGCATGAACGGGGGAGGGTCAGAGAGAGGAAGACACAGAATCTGAAACAGGCTCCAGGCTCTGAGCTGTCAGCACAGAGCCCGACGCGGGGCTCGAACTCACGGACCGTGAGATCATGACCTGAGCCAAAGTCGGCCACTTAACCGACTGAGCCACCCAGGCGCCCCTAATTTGACAGTTTTCTAGTTGTGCTTGTGAAATGAGAGGAGCCTGTGGCTCGCCCACTTCTGCCAGGATCTTCCTGACTCTCCAAATCCTTTTTCCTGATATTTAAATGCATGTGAGTGAAAAACATTCTTTCCAGATTGTTTCTACATTTGCTAAGTAAGTGTCAGAGAAGATCACTACTAAAAGTATTACTGTTTGTTTTAATCTCTTAACATTTCCATGAATGCCAAATCGCCTCTCTGATTCATTCTGCTCACCACAAATTACTGCTTTTATCTTGACATTTCCTTGCTTAAATGCATTAAATTTCTCCCTACTGCTTACAGAATAAATAAAAACGTTTATCTTAATTTTTCTACTGTCCTATGATCCGATGACTGTCCTTTCTCCCCTATCTTTGATTTTGTTGATTTATGTTGTCTTTTATAGCCACTTGTCTGATCATGGCCCTTTTGTTGAACCTTGGACTTTCTTGATTACCATCCACCATTCACACTATTTCTACCTTTTGAAATAACCTTGCATTTCCTCCCTCCTTCCACCAAGTCTAAGTGATCTCTCCACTGCTGATGCCCCATCTGAACAGCTACAGCGGTCATTGGTACTTCTCTTCTTTGCACTTCATAAGGTCATTGTATCCTTTATTACTTTAAGATGTAGATGCTTTTAATGAGAGTTTTTAAATTGATTATTATAAAGAGGGATAAACGAAAATAAATATTCAGGCTAGGTTTCTCTGGACATTTTACAGTAGACATTTATTTGTTTTGCAGTTCACAAATTGAAAAAAGGCTGGATGTTACACCTTTGTATGTATCTCTCGCTCATACTGACCATTGCCATACTAGGTGAGTAGCTTAGCTCATAAATTGTCTATGCTTCTCCATGCACAGTAGGGCCAAACATATCTCAGACTTAATCTTGGATTTCTCAGTCCTGGAGTAATAAAAAGGTCTTGTAGAGACAAGTCCTCAGATTCCTACCAGTTTGGCAGGTTTTACCACATTCCTTGCCTTTCTCAAAAATGCTCTTGGGGCACCTGGGTGGCTCAGTTAGCTAAGAGTCCGACTCTTGGTTTGGGCTCAGGTCATGATCTCATGGTCATGAGACTGAGCCCCACACCAGGCTCGGCTTTGACAGCCTGGAGCCTGTTTGGGATTCTCTCTTTCCATCTCTCTCTTTCTCCCCCTCCCCTCCTCTCAAAATAAAGAAACTTAAAAAAAATACTGTTGAATCTTTTCTTCGTGCTATCCATTCTGATTAGGAGAGGTGATATTCCATTGTGGTTTTGATTTACATTTCCCTGATGATTAATGATGTTGAGCATTTTGTCACATGTCAGTTAGCCATCTGCACATCTTCCCTGGAAAAAATGTCTATTTAGGTCCCCTGTTTATTTTTAAATTGGATTATTTGGCTTTTTTTGGTGTTATGAGTTATTCCTATATTTTGGATATTAAATCCTTATTGGATATATCATTTGTAAGTGAATAAATAAAGAAGACGTGGCGTATATACATAATGGGATATTATTCAGCCATAAAAAGAATGAAATCTCCCCATGATGACGACAAGGATGGACTTAGAGCATATTATGAGAAGTGAAGGAGGCCAGAGAAAGACAAATACCGTATTATTTCACTTATATGCAGAATCTGAAAAATAAAATAAGCAAACAAAAACAGACACAAACTCAAAAAATACAGAGAACAGCCTAGTGGTTGCTTGCCAGATGGAGGGAGTTCGAGGAATGAGCAAAATAGGTGAAGGGTATTATGAGGTACAGACTTCTTAGTTATTAAATAAATAATCATGGAGATTAAAAGTACAGCATAGGGAATATAGTGAAGAATATCATAATAACTTGGAAGGTGACCAATGATAACTGCATTTTTCACACTGAGCATTTTCTAATGTATAAAACTGTCAGATCACTATGTTGTACACCTGCAACTAATATATGACTATACCTTAGGTAAAAAAGTGAATTAAAAAAAAAAAATAGGGTCACCTGGCTGGCTCAGTCAATAGAGCATGGGACTCTTAATCTCAGGGTTATGAATTTGAGCTCCATGTTGGGTGTAGAGATCACTTAAGAAAAAACAAAAAAAAACTAAATATTCTAAATATCACAATACAGTCATCTTAATCTCAAAATACAGTCATCGTCTTGAATTATAGTTCTTAGTCTTTTTTTTTTTAACGTTTTATTTATTTTTGAGACAGAGAGAGACAGAGCATGAACGGGGGAGGGGCAGAGAGAGAGGGAGACACAGAATCGGAAACAGGCTCCAGGCTCCGAGCCATCAGCCCAGAGCCCGAGCAGGGCTCGAACTCACAGACCGCCAGATCATGACCTGAGCCGAAGTTGGACGCCCAACCGACTGAGCCACCCCAGGCACCCCTAGTTCTTAGTCTTTGAGTAAGATAATTATAAATTTTCAAATGACCACCAGATAACAACACCAATAGTCATGTTTTTTTTCCAATGTTTGTTTGTTTGTTTTTTATTTTTTTAAATTTACATCCAAATTAGTTAGCATATAGTGCAACCGTGATTTCAGGAGTAGATTCCTCAGTGCCCCTTACCTACTTAGCCCATCCCCCCTCCCACAACCCCTCCAGCAGCCCTCAGTTTGTTCTCCATATTTATGAGTCTCTTCTGTTTTGTCCCCCTTCCTGTTTTTATATTACTTTCATTTCCCTTCCCTTATGTTCACCTGTTTTGTCTCTTAAAGTCCTCATAATAGTCATGTTTTTTAACTGAGAGTACTTTGTGCAAGTTAAAGAACCAATATTAGTGACACCCGGGTGGCTCAGTCAGATGAACGTCTGACTTTTTGGTTTCTGCTCAGGTCATGATCTCACGGTTTCATGAGTTTGAGCTCTGCGTTGGGTTCTGCACTGACATTGTGGTCCCTGCTTGGGATCCTCTCTCTTCCTCTCTCTCTGCCCCTTCCCCACTCATTCTTTCTCTCTCTCAAAATTTTTTGTTTAAAAAAGAACCAATATTACATACACTACACTTATTATTTTTATTTAATTCTCACAAGGCCATGACATAAGTGTAATTATGAAATCCATTTACAGGCACAGAAATAGAAGCCAGAGTGAATAAGCTGCCTCTCACAAATGACAAATTCCAGAGCCAGAATGGAGACTCTTGTCTGTCTGGTTCTAATTCCTGATATTTTAACCACCAGGCAATATTGTCTTTATAACTTCAATATTTCTTTGCTCTGATTTCTTTTGGATCAAGATTAAGTTATATTACTAACAGTTGTTCTAGGAAACATTTATGATGTAAAAAAAAAAAAATGTCATAGGGGCGCCTGGGTGGCGCAGTCGGTTAAGCGTCCGACTTCAGCCAGGTCACGATCTCGCGGTCCGTGAGTTCGAGCCCCGCGTCGGACTCTGGGCTGATGGCTCAGAGCCTGGAGCCTGTTTCCGATTCTCTGTCTCCCTCTCTCTCTGACCCTCCCCCGTTCATGCTCTCTCTTTCTCTGTCCCAAAAATAAATAAACGTTGAAAAAAAAAAATTAAAAAAAAAAATGTCATAATGGCACAAGTGATTTGTTGCAACATTTTCTCTGTTGGAGTAGCTTTGTGAAAATGAAGATTTTCACAATTTTCTTCTGGACACTGTTGGTTCATTTTGTGAAAATAAGTCAAAGGTAGACTTTTAAATTCCTGAGCAGTGACTTTAAAATAGTCTCAGAACTTGCTTTTCCATTGCATGCTTTGCTTAATACAGCACTTAATTTAGGACTTAGGTTAAAGTAACACTTAGTACCCTTGGGGCATCTGGTTGGCTCAGTTTGTTGGGCATTCAACTCTTGATTTTGTCTGAGGTCATGATCCCAGGGTCATGGGATCAAGCCCTGCATTGGACTCTGCTGATTGTGGGGCCTGCTTAAGTTTCTCTCTGTCTCCCTCTGTCCCTCTCCCCTGCTCACACTTTCTCTCTCTCTAAAATAAAAACATAAAAAAAACAGTAACACTTAGCACTCTTTATTCTTGTTTTCTTTGTCATTCACAAGAGTGCTGACATTCTTTTTTTGTATAGCTTTCTGTCACTATTAGAGTCCTGGGAGTGCAATGTTACTGGTATTTAATTATCTGGCAGTTAATATATTTATAGAGAAGTGTTTTTATAAGAAGTCTTTACATTCATTCATTAATTGATTATTTAAAAAAATGAAAACACAATATATTTCATTACCTATCTGTGGTAGCCTGAATCTGCCTCTACGTATTACCAAAACAAAACAAAAAAAAATTCATGGCAAAGTGAGGAGAGAAGGCTTTGGATTTGGCCTGACATTTAAACATTTACTTGGTTCTTTGCCGGTTACATTAACTTATTCAAACATTTGGAGGGCAGGGACTTTATCCTTTTCTGATTACTGATCACTTACCTGAAACCTTGAAACATAAAATTCTCAAAACATTCTGTACAGAAATAAATTCACCATTATTCCAGCTTCTTTGGCACTGAATATTGGTGAAGGAGAAAAAATTTTTACTAACTCATATGTCAGTGAGTTGTTGTCATTTATGGTGAGTTTTACTTCCCTGTCTTGGATGTCCTTTTATGTCTAGGACCATTCATTTCTGTAAGGAAAGACAAGCCTTCCTTTATTACCCTGGTCCGTGAGACCGAAATGGTATTCGTGTCTCTAGGTCTCTGTCGAGTGCTAAATTTTGTGCATTATTTTGGGAGGACGTCCATATAGACTATGAGAGGCTGGTAGTTCCATTCTTCAGAGTAGAAGCCAGGGAAATCAGATGAACTATGGACTGCTCAACCCTTGAATGGTTTTCTTTACAGACAGCAAGGACTGAATTCATCCATCATTCCATGAGTGAATTTAATTTTAGAGACTGCAAACTGTGGGGGTAAAAGTGAAACTGATTCATCAGAATGAATAGAAACTCTCTTTAACTTATTTTTTGATTCTTTCTTTCTTTCTTTCTTTCTTTCTTTCTTTCTTTCTTGTAGCAACAAAACTTTCAAAGCGTTCCCAAACTATGGCATGTGAGGACGAATGGATTGGATTAAGAAAAAAGTGTTTCTATTTTTCCAGTGATACCAAAAATTGGACAGCCAGCAAAAGATTCTGCAGTTCACAGGGATCAGAACTTGCTCATATTGATACACGAGAGGATATGGTAAGAAAAGGAGAAATTTCTCAATCGTTTCAGTGCTTAAGTGTTACTAAGAGAGAATTAAAATGATAAAAGTGAATACTCTATGATGATATATACCAGTGTTCTAAGCACCATAACTATAAAAACTCATGCGATCTTCAATCCTGGTCTATGAAGTAAATACGTTAAGTACCCCTATTTTAAAGATGAAGAAAGTGAGGCACAGAGCTGTTGTGTAACATAGCCTTTGTCACAGAGCCATAACTTGGTCAACTGGGATTTGAACCCACACAAATTAGCTAGTCATGCTAGGTCCTTAATCACAATGCATATTGTTTATATAGCTAAATGTCTTTATTTAATGTTTTTAGATTATTAAATAGATTGTTTTAATACTTTTACATTTTGATTCTGCCGAGAATAGCCTGGAAAAATTAAAAAAAATAAAAAAGATATGGCTCTTGGAATTGAGGATAAGGATCTGAAGGAAATAGCACAGTTTGAAGAAAATGAAACAATGAATAGAAGTGAAAGAGGGCAAAGGAAGGGAAACTTGGGCTGCACGAGCACCGAGTGAGGGAAAGGGTTTGTTTATAAAGAAAGTTGACTAATGGGTTTGTGGTCCAATACCAAGGAGCCAAGAGAAGAGAAACTAAATCCATCACTCAATATATTTTGTTGCAATAAATCATATTCATCCAGAAGTTTATCTGATTTCTGAATATGTGAGAAAGCATACAATAGCAATAATATTCTCATTCTGGTATCTACTCAAAGGATAGTTGACCCTTGAACAACACAGGTTTGAACTATACAGGTCCACTTACATGCAAATTATTTTCAGTCATTACAGTAGGGCACTGAAAGTGTATTTTCTCTTCCTTATGATTTTTTAGAAAACAGTTCCTTTCTTTAGTTTGTTATTAAAAAAATTACATAATATATATAACATACGAAATGTGTCAGTTGTTTCCATTAACAGCAAGACTTTCTGTCAAAGGTAGGCCATTAGCAGTTAAGTTTGGGGGGAATCAAGAGTTATACTTGGGGGTGCTTGGGTGGCTCAGTCGGTTGAGCAACAGTCTCTTGATTTCAGCTCAGGTCATGATCCCAGGGTCATGAGATCAAGCCATGCATTGGGCTCTGTGCTGAACATAGAGCCTGCTTAAGATTCTCTCTCTTTCTCTCTCTCCCTCTGGCCCTTCCCTGCTCATGCTCTATCTCTAAAATTAAACAAATAAATACATAAATACGTAAAATTGAAAAAAGAGTTACATTTGGATTCTCAAGTGCATGGTGCCGTTGTTCAAGGATCAACTGTAGTTTATGACTGAGTTTTCCCATTTTAACAGTACTTATACTCTCCATTAAACTCTTTCCCCCTGAAATCCCTCCTCTGGTTTTTGAGAAAGGACCTGTGGACAAAACAAAATAGAAGCATTAGTTCTCTGTCACCCTTACAGAACATTCTGTGCCGGTTCCTACAGAAAGTGCTCACCTCCCAATTTTGTTATCCAAACAGACATAACATCATATCAGTTTATGGTCTTTGTCATTCACTCTGGAACTAAAGCGTACTGGTGGTCTATGCGTTCAAACTTGAAAGAAAGGAATTAAAATATGTTTTCCTCCTCAATAATGAGAAATAGAAATCACCCCTAAAGATGACCCAAGAGAGTGTAGCTCAGAGGATTTCAATGACTTGGTGGAAGTCACTCTATTGCTTACCAACATTTAGGAAGTACAAGAGCAAAGTGAAAATCTTGCTGATAAAACTAACCTCAATATCCCTACCTGTTGCTATAGAAGCAGGAGGGCATGTAGATTAGGAGGCCAATCATGAAAGATGGGATAGTGGGGGTGAGAAGCATGTTCAGCAATATGCTCGAAAATATTCAGCAGCAGATAATGCCCTGACTTTTTGTGAAAGGATTTTTTGAGGAAGCACGCAGGAACTTCTATGCACTGGATCGGATTGAACAGAAAACAAGGAGAGTCTTGGAAGTGGACCAATGGCACCATATTCAATCCTTGGTGAGTTTCCAATTTAGTAGGAAAGGTTTTATGGGTGTTGTATACAAATTTAGATCATTTTAAGTTGTATTATTACAAAGAAATCTTTCTGTTACATGCAACTGCCTTCGTTAGTGTCCACCCTGTAACATGTGCCCTTTCACATTGAAACATACCTTAGAGCCACCTGTATCTCTTCCGCCTTGTTAAATGACACACAGTGAGGGGGGCCTGGTGGCTCATCAGCTAAACGTCCAACTTTGGCTCGGGTCATGATCTCACGGTTTGTGGTTTGAGCCTCCCGTTGGGCTCTGTGCTGACAGGTCAGAGCTGGGAGCCTGCTAAGGAATCTGTGTCTCCTTCTCTCTCTGCTCCTCCCCTGCTCATTTTCTATCTCTCTCTATCTGAAAAATAAATGAACATTAAAAAGTAAATAAATAAATAAATGACACAGTGAATTTTTTTGTTATTTTATTTTATTTTATTTTACTTGTATTGACAGAGTCTTGCTAATAAACACTTCTCTTGATAATGCAAATTCAACTCATTTGCAAATTCTATTTTTTTTAACGTTTATTTATTTTTGAGACAGAGAGAGACAGAGCATGAACGGGGGAGGGTCAGAGAGAGGGAGACACAGAATCTGAAACAGGCTCCAGGCTCTGAGCTGTCAGCACAGAGCCCGATGCGGGGCTTGAACTCACGAACCATGAGATCATGACCTGCGCTGAAGCCGGATGGTCAACCGACTGAGCCACCCAGGCGCCCCAGCTCGTTTGCAAATTCTAAACCAAACCACAGGTATCACTTGCACCTTTTGAGAACTAACTGTATTTATACAAGATCTCTTTGTTTTAAAGAATTAGTGATCACATAGTTGTCTTTAACTTTCCATATGCCCATCATAAACAATATTATTTAGTTGGGTAACCATTATCGAGTGAATGTTGCTTTCTCACTTATGTACTATTGCCCCTGGAAACAAGGGCTGTGTGACTCTTCTCTTGTAGCCATGTACTCCTGCCTTAGCATTTCATTAAGTTCTAGATAAACAATGGAATGAATTAAACAAATACTAAGATATGTGAGACGTGACAAATTACACTTACTACAGAAAATGGAAAAATCGATCATCAGCAGAGCAAATTAATAGAAACGATTGCAATTAGTCTCTTTGGGTTCTATCTCAGTATGTGTCAAACGCATCAAATGAATATAAAACTTATTCCTTACCTTCAAAAAGGAACATCAGCTAAAAACATGCCAAGAAAATGCTTTAAAAAAAGCTTCTAGAGATCTTTGGGTTTTTTTGTTTGTTTGTTTGTTTTTTTAATTTTTTTTTCAACGTTTATTTATTTTTGGGAAAGAGAGAGACAGAGCATGAACGGGCGAGGGGCAGAGAGAGAGGGAGACACAGAATCGGAAACAGGCTCCAGGCTCTGAGCCATCAGCCCAGAGCCCGACGCGGGGCTCGAACTCACGGACCGCGAGATCGTGACCTGGCTGAAGTCTGACGCTTAACCGACTGCGCCACCCAGGCGCCCCTAGAGATCTTTGGATTTAGCAAACACAGTCTCTCCTGATAGATGGGTAGAAATAGATATAGATAGATAAATATAGATAGATATAGATATGGATATAGATATAGATGATATAGATATAGATATATAAATGATATAGATACAGATATAGATATGGATATAGATATAGATGATATAGATATAGATATATAAATGATATAGATACAGATAGATAAATGTAGGTAGATATAGACTTATATCTACATCTACGGCTTATCCATGTCTATCTATATCTATATGTATATCTGCCTTTCTACTTATTATCTTAAATAAGGTTACAGTTTATACCAATAATCATAATAATTAAGTATCTACCTTCAGTCTTCTATTCCTTTAATGTAGCAGATATTTTTGTATAGCATATAGTGATGGGTGAGTACGGAGCTGAATGTTTTGTCTAAAATGTCCCGGATCACTGGAATCTTAATTTGATTTTTGATTACAGCTGTCAGTGGTTCCCAAACTAATTGTAATTATTCCTTTTCAGGTTTGAAATTAGTGGGAATGGATCCTTTGCATTTCTGAATGCTGACGGAGTCCGTAGTTCCAGGGGATTTATTGATATCAAGTGGATTTGCAGCAAACCTAAGTTTTAATAGAGCAAATAACTGAAAAATGACTGTGGTACATCTAATGGCTATTCCATAGATTAGGAGATTATAGGGAATGCATTGCAAAGCAGAACACATTTTTGATATGTTCGTTCTGGCACGTAGCCCACTGATGTATTGCACATTGTTTCCCTGTATGCATGCTTAATAAATATGGGAGCTTGAGAGCAGCTCCGGGAGACTTCCCTTAGTCTTCCTGTCACCTCTTTTGATTTGCATGGAGTCTTGAGTAATCCTTTCTGCCATCTTCTGTTTTGCTGGACGAAGCCAAAACCCAAACCCACAAATGACTATCACACTTCAGAGATAAAGGAAAGGCCTAGATAGGCAACACTTACTTCTCACTTGTTATGCTATTGAATACAGAATTTTGTGGGGCACCTGGGTGGCTCAGTCTGTTAAGCATCTGACTTTGGTTCAGGTCAGGATCTCAGTGTTCATGAGTTTGAGTTCTGTGTTGGGCACTGTTGACAGATCAGATTCTGGAGCCTGCTTCAGATTGTGTCTCCCTCTCTCTCTGCCCCTCCGCTGCTCATGCTCTGTCTCTCTCTGTCTCTCTCAAATATAAATAAACATTAAAAAAAAATTTCAGAATCTTGAAAATATTAAACAAAGACACTAAAACCTGTTGAATAAATGAACCTCATCGATTCAAGACGCATAGCTTCCCGTGACAAGCCAGGAAGCTTCCACTAAAAAGAACCAAATATAATAATCACAAACAAAGCGATAACCTGTACCTAAAATGATGGTTATAAGCAACTTTAAAAAGATTGATATCAGTAGGCCAGCCAGCATTTACACAGCTTAAAAGATAGACAAATACATGTGCTCTATCTGTGTAAATATTACAAAATATTGACAATGGTAACTCTGGTTTAAAGAAATGTTACAAGAGAAACACCCATGAAAAGACACTTACTTCAATAATATCCTGAAAATAAGGAAAGACCCACCAAGAAGGAGCCTAGTTCTATCAATATGAATCACTGATAAATGATCAGAATTATGCATTAAATTATAAAGCTTTCTCAAAGTAATCTATAGATTGAATGCAATCTCCATCAGAATACAATGGCATTTTTATAGAACCAGAACAAAGAATCTTATTTGTATGGAATCATAAGAGACCCCAAATAGCCAAAGCAATCTTGAGAAAGAAGAACAAAGCTGGAGGAGGCATACTCCCTGACTTCGAACTACACTGCAAACCTGCAGTAATCCGAAGAGAGAAGTTCTGGCACAAAAACACATGGATGAGTGGAATCGAATAGACAGCCCCAAAACAAAAGCCATGCTTCTATGGCCAATTAATCTAGGACCAAGGAGATAAGAATGTACAATGGGGAAAAGACAAGTCTTTCAACAGATGATGTTGGAACGGCTGGACAGCTACATGCCAAAGAATGAAACTGGACAAATAGCTTACACTATATACAAAAATAAATTCAAAATGAATTAAAGACTTACAGGGGCGCCTGGGTGGCTCAGTCGGTTAAGCATCCGACTTCGGCTCAGGTCATGATCTCACGGTCCGTGAGTTCGAGCCCTGCATCGGGCTCTGTGCTGACAGCTCAGAGCTTGGAGCCTGTCTCGGATTCTGTGTCTCCCTCTCTCTCTGCCCCTCCCTCGTTCATGCTCTGTCTCTCTCTGTCTCAAAAATAAATAAACATTAAAAAAAATTTAAAAAAAAAAGACTTACCTATAATACCTCAAACCATAGAACTCTTAGAAGAAAACATAGGCATTTTCTTTGACATTGGAATTTGTTTTTTTTTTTTTTTTTTTTTTTTTTTTTTTTTTTTTTTTGGACCAGTCTCCTCAAGCAGAGGCAAGAAGAAGCCAAAATAAACAAATGACATTACTCAAACTAAATAGCTTTTGCAGAGTGAAGAAAACCATCAATGAAATGCAAAGACAAATTACTGAATGAGAGACCTTTGGAAATCATACATCTTGTAGGGTTAATATCCAAAAAACATAAAGAACTTCTACAACGTAATATAAAAATGATTAAAAATGGACCGAATAGACATTTTCCAAAGACACTCAGATGGCCAGCTGGCACATGAAAAGGTGCTCAATATCACTCATCATCAGGAAAATGCAAATCAAAACCACAATGAGATAGCATCTCACACCTGTCAGATTGGCTATGATCAAAAAGAAAAACTAACAACGTAAGAATTATGTTGACAAGGATGTAGAGAAAAGAGAATCCTTGTACACTGTTGGTGGGAAGGTAAATTGGTGCAGCCACTATGGAAGACAACATGGAGATCCCCCCCCCCATATTAAAAATACAACTACTGTATGACTCATCAATTCCACTTTGGGGTATTTTCTGGAAAAAAAAAACCCACAATTCAAAGAGATATACATACCCCTATATCCATTGCAGTATTTACTGTAGCCAAGATATGGAAGGAACTTAAGTGTCCATTGATAGATGAATGAATAAAGGTGTGAGATATATATATATATATATATATATATATATATATATATATATATATATATATATATATATATATGGAATATATATACATATATATGGACTATTACTCCATATATATATATATGGAATATTACTCACCACATAAAAGAATGAAATCCTGCCGTTTGTGACATGAGTAGACCAGGAGGGTATTATGCTCAGTGAAATAACATGACAGAGAAAGACATATACCACAACGAGTTCACTTATATATGGAACAAAAAACATCTTTTTTGTTGTGTCTGCAAAACAGAAACAGACTTATAGATACAGGAAACAAACTGTTGGCTGCTAGATGGTGGAGATATGGGGGGGGGCCCAGGTGAGATAGGCGAAGGAGATTAAGAGGTACAAACTTTCAGTTATAAAATAAATAAGTTATGGGGATGTAGTGTACAACATAGGAAATAGAGTCAATAATATTGCAAGAACTCTGCATGGTGACAGATAATAACTAGACTCATGGGGATCACTTTGTAATGTTCAAAAATATTAAGTCACTATGATATACACCTGAAACTAATATGATATTGCATGGCAATTATATTTCAATTTAAAAATTACAAAGTTTAGACAATAGAATATAAACTAGAAAAATGACATCAAAAGTGACCAAACAATCCAAGGGATACAGGTGTGCTGTTTCAAAGGGACACATGCACCCCCATGTTTATAGCAGCACTATCAACAATAGCCAAAGTGTGGAAAGAGCCCAAATGTCCATCGATGGATGAATGGATAAAGAGAATGTGGGATATATGTACAATGGAGGATTACTCAGCCGTCAAAAAGAATGGCATCTTGCCATTTGCAACTACGTGGATGGAACTGGAGGGTATTATGCTAAGTGAAATTAGTCAGTCAGAGAAAGACAAATATCATATGACTTCACTCATATGAGGACTTTAAGACACAGAACAGATGAACATAAGGGAAGGGAAGCAAAAATAATATAAAAACAGGGAGGGGGACAAAACAGAAGAGACTCATAAATATGGAGCATAAACAGGGTTACGGGAGGGGTTGTGGGAGGGGGTGATAGGCTAAATGGGTAAGGGGCACTAAGGAATCTATTCCTGAAATGATTGTTGCACTACATGCTAACTAATTTGGATGTAAATTTTAAAAAAATAAATAAATAAAATAAAAAAAATTTTAAAAAGTGACCAAACAATAAGTTATTAAAAAAAAGAATCAGTTTCCCAAGTAAGGCAAGGAAACGGGATGGGCTTAGGACATATTCCTGAGTGAGGTCATAAAATTCAAATTCTGCAGAGCATTTGAAAAACTATATCAGAACCACCTATGTTACATTAGCTTGAGTTTAAATTCTTGCCTACGTAACTAGGAACTACTATGAGTAACTAGGTAACTATAAATGACTCATAATCTATGAGTGCAAGAAAGAATGTGAATGTAGGCAAAAGATAAACTGTTAGATTAGAGAGGCTGGGAGAGAGTATCTACATTACAAACACATTACAAGCATACAAACAAGTTCTCCTCCCACATCTTTAACTGAGGAATACTTCTTCAGTTAGATACAGTTGGAACTTTCTGATAAATTAAAAGGAGGGGCGCCTGGGTGGCTCAGCTGGTTAAGAGTCCGACTCTTGGTTTCAGCTCAGGTCATGATCTCACGGTTCCTGGATTTAAGCCCCGCATCAGGCTCTGTGCTGACACTGCATAGTCAGCTTAGTATCTATCCTCTGTCTCCCTGTCTCTCTCTCCCCCTCCCTGCTCTCCCTCTCTTTCTCGCAAAAATAAATAAATAAACATTTAAAGGGGGATTTAAGTGTGAGTCTACTAGTCAATGTTGACCCCAGTACCATGGGAATACCAATGATTTGGCAAATATCAGCATGTTTTAAAGTATGTTGTCACCAAGAAAAGTGGGAAATAATGAATTTTGGGATGCCATTGTGTATTAAAATTGGATGTATTAAATTCTGGCTCAGTCTAAGTTCCAGTTTTCCTTGATTCATAATACAGGTTTTATTTTTAGTGTTGGTTCTTGGTTACAAATTAATTTTGTAAACTGCTTAGCAAATTAGCCTAAGCCATCTCCTTTTTTTAATTTTGATTCACAGTTATTAGGGTATAAATTCTCCATGGCTTATAATTTACTATAGGCATCTTGGAGGAGTTAAGTAACTAACTACCTCACTTACCTGGTGGACACAAACTGTTGCATTTATTTTGAAATACAAATGTGTTTTATTTTTCACTTTGTATTTGTTTTTACTTTTGTTTTTTT